CCCCTACCGCCGCCATAGCGCCCGTTGCGCGACATCGCCTCAGCTCCAACCGCCGGCCCGCCCGCACGCGCTCCGCCGCCGCCCGCCCCCCCTATATATAAGGTCCGTTGGCGCCGCGCATGCGCAACGCGGCCCAGCCCGCGCGCGCCTGGAAGGCGGGAAGCGGGCCGCGTGTCGCCATAGCAACCCGGCCTGGGCTCACCTGTCCGCTCCCGCGCGCCGGACTGGCGGGCGGGAATCGTGCGCTGCCACTGCTGGGCGGGCTGAGGGCTCGTAGTATCACTGTGGCCGCCCGGGGCCAGCTAGGGAGCCCTCCCTTTCGGCTGTCTGAATGACTGTGGCCCGGCTACCTCCCCCCCAGGCTGGGCGCCCAGAGCCTTTCATCGCGGAATAGGGGTGTGCCCAAGCAACGCGATCAGAGAAGCGCTATTTCACTTCTCCCAGCAAGAAGAGTTCGTTTCCCATTAGCCAGTCAGCTATTACCCTTGCTTCTTGCACCCCAAGTCCCGACGGATCTTCAAGTGTTGAGAAGTCCTAGCGTACTTGTCCTAGGTCTTCATCCTGCACATGGACTGGTCTTAAGGGACCCTTGTACCACCTCTCATCCATTTGCAGGACTCGGTTCTTAGTGTTCTCACGGTTCTCGCTGAGAAAAATGTGGGCTATGCTGTTTCAGTTTATAGAGACACAAGACAAGGATTCCTTAGGGTGATAGCTTATATTGGACCAACTAAATAAAGGATTTCTAGCTGTAGAAATAAGCTTTGCCTATCTAGTTAGTCTAATAAAAGACACCACGCTAAGAAATCCTTACCCGTCGTGGAAACACACGCAGCATACTTTTGGGTCAGGTCAGCAGAAGCTTTTATTCAAAAGAAACTACAGCTGTAGGGGGGATTCCAAAGTGACATGGATTTCCCAAGCACTTGGAAGGGGTCCCCCCCCCCCAAGAGCAAAATCAGGAGGCTTATATACTTTTTAACAGTTGCTTACAACTCACGTGATCATATAGTGAAATTAGCATGAAAAGCGGCTATAATATTACTTCATTATTTCTTTGCTGTAATCAGGATGGGAATTAATGGGGGAGGCAAGGTTAGTTCACAAACCTCCTTCTTGCACCTGGAAATCAGAGTTGTACATACTTTTTGCTATCTTCAAGGCCGCAGTGAGGGAAGCAGTTGCAGAGGAGTTACAAAGAACAAACACTTTTCCTTATCTGTTCTACTATACAGAGCCAGCAATTCTCCACAAAGCGGTTATGTCATCTTATAACTAAAATAATCAAAGTTTAAGGCATATATTTTTTCTGATTCCACACCCCTCACACAATTGCTGGACCATCACAGCAACATCACTCTTACACTAGCTTATTGATGCTCCACCATTTGAGTTGTCTGATTTAAGTGTGAAGTTCAGGTGAAAAGCACTCTTAGTTCCAGTGACACAAAACAAACAGACTTGTACTAAACTTTCTGCCAAAGTACTTTGGGACTGAGAATAAACTAGGCCAGTGGTTCCCAAACTGACAGACTGTGTACCACCAATTTAAAACGATACAACCTTACGTACCACTGGCAAATTTTTCAGTTCAACCTTATGTACCACTGGCAACTTTTTGTCATATAAAGTAATTGTAATAAATCTGTTAACGTGTACCACTGACAGGTTGTACGCTTGGCACTGGTGGTACACGTACCACAGATTGGGAACTGATGAACTAGGCAACCTTCAGCGCCTAAAGGCCATTTCTGAGGTAAGGCCCAAAGGAGCGTTGTAAGAATCATCTTCTCAACTATAACTAGAGAAACAGCTACAGATGTGTGAATTGCTCTTTCAGCTCAATGGGAACTTGATTCAAAGTGGATAACTAAAAACAGGTCAGATTTCCCTTGGAACAAAGTCTTTTTATTCTGGGATTTTACCCACTCGTTGTCTCACCCTAACTACCTGGAAAGTTACAGGGATAACACTTTTTCCCTCCGGACAATATTGGCTAATTAAAGTTAATTGCCATTCAAATTGCATGTATAAACAACTGTCTTGCACCTGTCTCGATACAAGTCAAAGCCTGAAGAAATCAGTAAGGAGAAAAGCACAATAAACCCCAGTTGCCTATTTTAAATTTATTAAAGTCAACAGATATTAGCTCTGAAGCTTATGAAAACAGTTATAAAGGTCACTACCCTTGATTATTTAATTGCCAGGCATTTTAAACTAATAACTAATGCACCAAAACTATGTTAAAAAAACAACAGTAAAAAACCCCTTGCATCACTTTGCAAATCTGAATAAAATATCATCACACTGTGGGTGTCAAAGGCTCATTTTGCAGAATCTGAGGTTAAATGAAATTACACCCTTAATCTGCAAAACTATAAATCACATGGTTTGGAGTCTCTTTAGTTCCTGCTCCTCTGTTTGTCTCAAAACCGTCACACACTAATTTTATCAGAAATACTAATGAAATATGTTTGATGTGGGGCCATTTACCTGAAGTGATTTCTGGGAAATGTTTCATCAGTAAAATAGAAACAGAATACAGAACTTTTCTAGAACAGAAACAAACATTATCCACATTTTTAAATAAGATTTTCATCGTCCTAGCTGTACCAAAAAAAAAGCTTATAAAAATGCCCAAACGAAAAGACTCACAAGTTAAATGAAATCCGGCATGCACACAAATTATACATGCACACATCACGTGCGTTATACCGCGCATATAGTTCCCTTTGTATTTTATCAGACTTTTTGCACAACCAAATGATTTGGTGGGCCTGAACAGGTTGGGGCACAGCGACCAGATAATGAAGCTGTGCACTTTCAGAACACCGGTTTTCCTTTTAAATCGATTTTAAATCGTTCCTATTGAGATCGGTCTGCTCTTTTCCATGGTTTGTGATATCACAAAGGACGCGAAAGAGCAGAGCGATTTGAATCTAGTTCACGCACTTGTACTAGGGCATGTTTAGCTTCTCCTGGGAAGACGTTTCGGCTCACAGCCTTGCGCGATTATTCAGCTGCCAAGTAGCTGTGAACAAAGGAAGCGCAGCTGCTCCGAGACCACAGCCCGCAGAGCAACGAGGAGCAGGATATGCACAGACCTCAGCCCCCGCCTCACTACAGCGGGGAAACTGCAGAGCAAGGGCTTGTGGGACCAGGAAGTGTGTTTAGCAAAGCCCTGCGGCTGGACGCCCGTCCCTGCTCTTCCGGGGCAGGGTAGCTGATCACAGACCCACGGCAACTCGCAAGACGCCACAACTCTTGGTGAGTGGGAGCTGGGGAGAGCAGTTAACTAACGATTCAGCAGCTGGAAGGGCTTGTGCAGGGATTTAAAACACCCGACCCGTGGCTTCTCCTAGCCGCAGCCATTGTGCAGAGTGCCACAGCCAGAGCGTTTTCTAGCCGTCACCTGTGTGGTGCAAACAGTCCGACATCAGGCCTCGATCCTGTGAGTGCTTATGCAGCTGCTAAATTTGACACACCTGAGTAGCCCAGTTGCTTTGCGTGCATGCCTAAATTTAGGTGGTGCAGTCCCCTCCTGTATGTGCGCACTGCATCTAGCTGGAATCCTGCATGAGGTGTTGGGACACTGTTGTGATTAGTTCTGTATAAAAGAGAAGGGGTTAGAACTGATGGATTAAGACCTAGGTCACACTTTAAAACCCCTGCTCTCCCCAGTATATTATGGCTCATGCATGCACTCACAAGCAGAAGAGCAAGAATGGTCTGGATATCAGTGACTTTTCTGCTGTCCAAATGAAAACCACTTTGGAACCCCAGGATCCAGTGTGGGTTCATGAACCTTTCAGTGGGATGAAGATTGGCTGTGCAGGGGCCTTGGCCTTCCTGAACCTGTTTAGCAGGGACCAGTTGCCATGAACTATCACAGCAAGCAGAGCCATCTCTAGGGATTGTGGAGCTCGGGGCATATCAGCCTGTGTGGGGTCCTGGGATGGGAATGGAGAGTGCTGTGTGACCACCCACAGAAGCCGGCGGGGCTGCATTGGGGCCTGTACAGCACTGTTTGCGGGGCCTCCCGAAGCGCAGGGCCCAGGGCAATCGCCCCGATTTGCACCCCCCTAGTGACAGCCCTGACAACAAGAGGAGTCCTTGCTAAACGGGTTCAGGACAGGCCAAGGCCCCTGCGCAGCCAACCTTCGCTGCTAGGGTCTTAGCGCTAACTCATTGTGTACTAGTGGAGAGATACAAACAATGCAGCACGTCACTGAGGAGTGTCCCCTCTACAAACTAAGACGTGTATTAATAATTTCGAACTTGGCTAATGAGGAGGCTACTGCTTAGCTTCATGGATTTGCATTCACTAAATAAGTAGTGGGATGCAGTCAGAATGCACTCTGTCTCTCTCTGTCTCTCTCTCTGTCTCTCTCTCGTTTGATTTTTGGTTCATTTTAAGCAGATTTGCCTGAGCATTCCAGGGGGAACCAGGGACTGAAGGAATCTCCCAACCATCAAATAATTTCTTGTCCCAAAAGCAGCAGCCGCAAAGTGAAGAACACTCGCTGACAGTGCTCCCTGCCTCTGTGGGCTTCCACCTTGTATTCAGTCTTGTGCAAGGGTCTTCATTCCCCCTCCCTACATGACCTTTCGAGGAGGGATCCTGCGAACAGAGGACACCTACCTGGCTATACCTGGGAAACATAAGCAGTTCTGCTGTAGTTCCCAATAAAAGCTGTTGGGAAAGGTTGCATATTTCAGCTTCCTGCACAGCCTGGCATAACAATGAAGGTACACAATTACCAAATAGAAGTTTCAAGCAGTGTGTACCTTCAAAAATTATGAATTGGGATGGAAACAAAGTGATGACCATTTTATACACTTTTTGAATTAAAGTTTAAAAAAAGTCAGAGAACATGTAAGAAATGACATGACTTAACAGAGAAAGGAGAAACCAGCTTAAAGCTGTTGAAAGGAGTTATAGCAGAGGCACTAATAACTGCACTTATTCCCCTTCAGGTTCTATGAGGGGGAAGGATGACTGAATGGCAGAGAAAGAGTCCCCTGGAGTGGCAGACCTACTTAAACAAGGAGGCGAAAGTTACAGCTGCTGAGAAGCATGAATATGTAGGATGGGTCTTAACAGTTGACCCAGTTTCTGCAAAGTAGGTTTAAAGCTTTTATTTCTTTGTATGGTGTCTGTGATAGACAATCAAAAAACATGGGATCTGCCATGAAATCACTCAGATCAGAAATGGCAGGGCAGAAGTTGGTGACATCTTTTCCAGGTGGCAGGGCCAAGGGAAGGGAATGCTAGAACTTATGAGGTTAATTAATATAATCTCGAATTCCTCTTATTTAAAAGACTAGCAGTGCTTGAGAACAGATGGAACACCTAAACTTGGTTGCTCTGGATTCTCCCCAGGTTTACTCTATATCTGGGCTAAGTGCTCTTAAAATGTAGATTTAGCACCAGGTGTAAACAGAGGATGTCTTTGGTCTAAGTCACTTCCAAAAGAAAGCAAGGAAGAAATATTGAGGGGCTTGCTTTCTTAACATTTTGAACATACATAAATAACATAACATGTTATTTAAGGTCCCAGTTGCACATTAATCCATAGGTGAACTGATCTTCAGGCATATCTCAAGATTAGGGCTTGCAGTATTTGAAGTCAATTAAAAAAAACCCAAAAAACAAACCTTTACATAGTATTTTGCCTTTTGAATTGAACAGAGTTTGGACAATGAAAGTGAAATAGGTAAGTTGCTTTCATTTTTGTTTCCCTGCACTAGCAAATTGGTTTAGGCTGAAAAGACTGCAGGGGAATGATGACATTCCAGCCAAGTGTTTTCATGAAGAAAGAGTGCATAAGAGGGCCTAGGATGCATAAAACCATCTTAATAAAACCTTGTGGAACTTGTTAGGATTAGACACCAATACACCTGTCCTAGATCATTTTATTGGTTAACTTATTGGAGACAAGTTTAAGGGTGAGGTGGTCTGTCCTTGAACACTAAGTGGAGCACAGTGGGTATCCAGTCCTTGTGGAACTTTGGGTATCAAAGTACTGAAAAGGTTTAGGAGCTTGCTCCATCACAGTCAAAACAGACAGAACAGTGTCACTATGAAATCTGTAAGGAGAGCCTTTACCCTCTTGCTCTTTATTGGTAATGTCACTTCCTTATGCTGCACCCCTTAGAGCAGTGGTTCTCAACCTTTTTTGGATCAGGAGCCATTTGTAAATATCAATGGCCAGTCCCACTCAGTGCCCCTCACTCCTGACCTGCTGCTCCCAAGCTCCAGCCCCCTAGTGTGTGGGGCAGGGGATGGCTGTGTGGGGTGGGGGTGAGGTAGCGGGGGTCCCCAAGCAGCCCCTTGCAGGCTGGAACTCTGCCAGCCTGTAAGGAAAAAGCCAGTTTCCTGCATTTTTCTCCTTTAAAGGAGAATCCATTTTTAAATTTTGTTGATCCTTTTTTTACGTTTGTTCACAACCCTTTCACATATTCTTGTGACCCACTTTTAGGTCATGACCCACAGGTCGAGAAATGCTGCCCTAGAGAGTCTTTCAGGAGAAACAAGACCTGAATTTTCTTGTGTAAACATAAAAAAATACCTTCTCTCTATAGCCCTTTTTCTTCTCCCTCCCCACCCTTCTAGCTTCTCATGAAAAAACATTCAAGGCTCTTTTACATAACAAAGGAGAAAGAACATTGTGCTGTAGTCTAGTCCTGTTTGTAGCACTCAAGTTCCGCAGCCAAAACTGTGTGTGTCTACAGACAAATCTCTATGTGGAGGCCGAATCCCCCTTTCTGCTAGCAGAGTTACATCTCTACTTAAAGCCAGGAAGATTCTGCCTCTGCCACGAGCTGAAGGGTATAGATACTCCCATGACTTTTGCTGGCTTTGGCAGGACCTTCAGCAGCTGCTATAGGGTGCACTTTGCTGGTTGCCAGTCTGGCTGCTGCCATGTAACCATACGGAACTGCCAGAAACACATGGAAGCATACATCGTCTGGTGGCTGGGCATCAGCAGGTGCTGACTGCCACCAGGGCTTCTGTCAGCATAACCAGGTAAACTGAGTTAAGGAAGGTCTGAGACAGTTAATCTCCCTTCTTATGTTTATGCCTTATTAGTGATGACTTAATTCATGCCAAGGTGTAGAATTCTAAATTCAGGCCTCCAATATGTAATTTGCTAAGAAAAAAACAAACATACAAATTAAGAGTTATGATGTTTGGGTATTGAAAGCCTTAACAGTGCATTTCCTTATTCTAGGATATCCAGTCACCCAGCCCTAATTTTGCTGTATGCTAAGTTTTGAGGTTTTGTTATTTTTTTTAACAGAATATTCTACTGCAGTGGTTAGCAAACTATGGTTAGTCCATGGAGCCATTTGATTTGGACCACAGACATGGAGCTTTGGCAGCAGTTGGGGATAGGCGGCTTCGGCAGCAGTCACTTTTCCATGCCATTGTGGGGAAGAGTACTGGTGGTGGCTGAGTATTAGCACCTACCCATCTGTCTACCTCTGACCCAGATCTGGATCAGTCTGGTGTGTAGCCTTAAACAGTTGCTGACCACTGTTCTAGTAGGGTAGGGCCAACACTTTAACAAATAAGTGCCTAAAATGTGTTTCCTAACTCTTTAACATGGTTTTTAAGTGAATCCTAATGGGAACAGATAATGGCTGAGCATCTAGCTATTTATTTGGGTCCAATTCTTAGCACCTGTTTTTTACATCTTGGCCTGTGTTTTGCATTCTTTTTTTGCTTGGGTACTTGTATTGAATGGTGTGTTCTCCTTTCCTTGCAGCATCGTTTTAGCTAAGCTCCTGGAAGATGAAAAAGTATCTGTTTCAGTTGTCTTGGGCCATGCTGTGCAAAAAGTTGAAATAGTGAGTGAAGGGGACAGCCCAATACAGGAACAGCTTGCTCACCTCTTTATGCCAGAAGAGAGCCAAGCATACAGCCAGGAAGAGCTGGAGAGGAGGAAGAGCAGCTTGAAGACCTGGCTGGAAACTAATCATATTCCAGTCACAGAAGAAGGAGAATCACAGAGAACATTGTGTGTTGCAGGGGTCTTAACAATTGATCCACCCTATGGGCCAGAAGACTGCAGCAGCTCTAATGAAATTATTCTGTCTAGGGTGCAAGGTTTGTTACAGGGCTATTTTGCAGCACCACAATAATGAACATATTGACAATTTCATTCAAATATTTCATATTTCAAGAATAGGGGGAAAGGGTAGGTAGGTTATTTTCTTTTCTTAAGAATTGTTGTGTGTGATTGACAGGCTTGGTTTTCACTGGTAGAGCTAGGATGAACAGCACTGCTGGGTTTGAGCTACATGGATTTTTCTGTGTATGAGGGCATAAACAACAACACAGCAGTGCATCTAAAAGCAGGGGACATTTGTTTATATTTTTGTTTTAAAATGTCATTCGATATTAATGGTATATTTAATGACTCCAAAGCCAATAGCTTCTTTAACAATGTGGTACCATATGAAAAATTTAAGCTTTTTTTCCCTATGACTATATGATTTCTGCCTTTAAACAATGCTTCTGAGTTCATTTCCCCCTCTGGCAGTATATATGACTAAACAGTTTGCCATAATATATTGTTTTTAAGAAGAAAAATTTGCTTGCTTAATCAGTAATTTCCAGATTAAACTAACAAGTTTAAATAACAAAAATGTTCATGTAAAACTCTGCTTTACTGTCAATTTACACAAACACATAGAATGTTTATTAGAAATATTTGGCTGGGGTTCTCCTGTTTTAGTAGAAAAATGCTGATGAAAATCCAGTACCATATGAAAGTTGCCATGTTGTTAGCATGTAGCTACAAGTTTCTAATTTAAATTACGTTGCATATATGCTAAATTTGTTCATTTTTGACAGCACTGAACTTCTTCATTAATAAGACAACTTATGACAAACTGCTGCTTGTCTGAAATCTTGTGTTCTAAATTTCTGCGAATAACTATTTTAATTTTCTTGGCCACTCCAAAAAGAAAGAAGTGTTGGGAAATTATTTTTATTCTTGTTCCTTTATTAAGTCATTTAGCAATCAGATAATGCTTTCATTTCCTTGTAACACTGTGTATTGTTGAAGTGGTATAAGGCAGCCTTACCAATGTGACACTCCATATAACCCTCCAAAAATGAATTAATGCAGGAGGAGAGAGGGGGTCAAAGATACAGCTGCTGACCGAGACCCATCATCTGGCCTCTGGTGCTGCCCCTCGATCTGAAGTTGACCCACACAATGCACACTGTGCACCTGATGGGCCCTGCTCAGGCCAGTCCATGACCCATTCCATTCATGGCACCTGCCTCAGCCAGTCCAGGACTTGTGCTGCATACAGTGTCCTTCCCAGCCAGTCCAGGATCTATGTTGCATGTGACACTCCCTCAGTGCTCTGGGGATGGTGCTGTGTGCCGCATGGATCCTGAGCTCGCCAAACTGGGGGCCTGCACATGTCCCAGACTACCCTCATACAGTTGCTGTCTGGCACAGTCCCAGACTGGCAGGAGCAAGTACTGGATCTAGTATGCAAGTATGGGGGCAGGCTCAGTGCTGTAGCAATGAAGTTTGGCTCCTGGGGCAAAGCCCGCAGTAGCAGCCCACCCTCACCCTGTGCGCAGATCTAGGGGGCACACGGCCCCCCTATGCTTGCCTAGGAGTGCATGTGGCAACGGGAGCCGCCCTTTCCCCACCCCCCCAAAATTAGCTGCTCGCAGCTCTGTCCTGCACCCCACCCCAGGCTGGGCAGCGCCTGTTGGTGCCCCTTCGCTTTGGCACTGGGGTGGTTGCCCCAATCTTCTTCCCCCGCCCTTGCTATGACACTAGGCAAGCTCATTTGTGAGCCCAATTTGGCCTCCAGGACTGGTCACATGCCATTTCTCTGAACCACGTGGCCAGATGAGTTTGACAACCCTGAATTAATGTTGACCATAATCTTGAATAAATTCCACTTGAACCCATCTATCAAATGAGATGAGGTCATTTAAAATGTGTGTCTTTTGCCTCTCTGCAAAGACATCTCAAGTTTGTGCCACAAGCATAGGAATGCCTGCATTCTGGCTGCTTAGCTTGTTCATTTGCTTTGATTGCAAATCTTGCAGTTCTCTAGTTCAGCAGTCATTACAGTGCTTATGTTAAAAATACTATCAACTTCATCTAGCCCATTTAAAATGGCAAGTCATACAAAGTTCAGCTGTTAAACGTACCACAAAGTCGCCCTGCCAACTTGCAGTCCTATTTTCCTGTGTATCTTGTTGCAGGGTGAATGCCTCAAAAATGGGAGCCTAAGAGACTCCACCAGGGAAACAGCAGCACTGATAACAAAAACTCCCTGTAATTTCAGTTATAGTGATCCTGGGTGTCACGTGCAAACGTAAGAGGTAGAAATTATCAGGCAGAAGCATGATGTAAGTTGACAGTACCCCTTGGAGTGAGGTTGCTGCACTATATAATAAGAAGTGCATACTGTGTTTGTCTTACACAAATTGTTTTGCTTGGAGAGAGCACTGTTCTGTATAGCTTAGGGGCTGTTTTTTTGTAAGAGGGATAGCCTCGACCTCCCTTATTGTATGAACAGAGTTCTTAATTGGCTCCTTTGTTCCAAAGCCAACTATTTAAAAGAATAGTAAATTTGAGGGTAAAAAGTATGTCTTCAAGATGTTTGTAACTCAAACCCTACACCTTGGACCATGTTTACCTGTCTGGTGTGACTGTGGTATCTAGATTAGCTGTCACCCATGCACTAGAGTTTTGTTTTTCATACTCTCTGGCTTTACACTGTAAAATAGCAGTATAAAGCACAGTGAAGAATCTGTGTTGCATGGGATGCAAGATGCAATGAAGGAGCTGTTGCCAGATAAGGACCAGCTGGAAGAGGTAAGATTTTTATTTCTTTTAGAGTTTTTCTTGGTGGGGAACATGAGCTTTAGACACAGAATCTTTTCACCCTTTTGTTTGGAATGGATTTTGGAATCAGGCAGTTATCCCAGTTTTCTTTTGGAAGGCTGGTCTAGTATTCAGCAAAGTGTACTGGGGCTCTGCAGTGTGTGTACAGCCACCACAGCTAGTTTGGCTGATTGCTTCCCAAAGAGACAGTTCAGAGTGGAGGTCAATCAGCCACTGTGCTAAGCCCTGCAGTGCTTCTTTATAAGTGTTCACAGGCCAGCAAGTGACGGCTATTACACTTTCACCTAAAGTTTCTAGCTAAGACTGATAATGAGAACAACTATTTGCAGTCAGTGTAGACAACCAATGAGATCTGTGATCAGAGCAGTTCAAACTAATGGTCTAGAACTACAAAGTTTATCATTCTTGACTAATCTCTGAACCAAAGGTTAATAACAGTAATGAACCTGTAAGCAAGGTGATATCTAAAGGTTTGGGCATAAGTTGTTTGTTTAATGAAAATTAATTGTGAAGATGGTATTGCTAACATAATCTTTTTCTACATATTACAATTATATGTTGTTAGAATTTATGAACAGATCAATGTGTATCTGCGTAGACATGTACAAAGATCTAGATAGATTATTGAGGTTTTTCTGTAGTGGTGTGTGAGTTTATAGACAAGATCTGTTCTACTTGCAGATAATTTTAAAGCAGGTCTCTTAAATTGAAAGTTTATTATGGTGACCTTTTAAAGTCAGATTGTGATCTTTTTGTTCTATCCTTTGGAAAGACTTTCTTTTCAATTTCACCATGCTTTTTTGAAGGGCAAATTGAAGATGGATAATTTAGTTTGCAAACCCTAATGGCATAACAGCAGAGCCTGACAACAGATTTAAACAAGCGCAAGAGGAAAAGCAGTGGAGAGTTAGAAGTCAAAATGTGACTGGTCCCTCTGGTTGTTAAGGTCTGAGGAAGGATGGATACAAAGGCTCCAGGTAAATGAAGGAAAGGAGTCTAGGCTCATCTGATTTTGCTGCATAATAAGCAACCAGCTGTATATCGACATAAAACTTGTTTCGGATACATTTTGCAACGTTTGTCATCCCTGCAACTGTTTCTCTCCTATCCTTGAGGAAAACGGAGGGAGAGAAAATTGGAAAGTTTTCCTTCCCAATGCAACACGCTTCAGCTGCCTTGCCTGTTCTTATTACCAGGGATCCTGGTGTTCTCGGATAGAAAAAAAAAATCCCCAAATTTTCAGCTTTAAAAAAGTAACCCCAAATCCACGTTTCCAGGATTAAAATGAAACGCCACTCATATATAGAGGTATATAGTGGTGCTTCGTTTTAATCCTGGAAGCATGTGGATTGTTTCATTAAAGCGCGCGACTTTCCCCGGGGACCCCCGTCAGTCGGGCGTGGGCGGGGGGCACCAACGCGGAACCAGGAGCCTGAGGCGGAGGCAGCGACTGGCTCCCAGCGCCCCCACCCCGCCCCAGGCCGGAAGCAATGGCTCCACGCGGGGCTGCGCGCTCAACTGGCGTCCTTCCCTGCACGCGGCGCGGCGGCCCTTGCGCATGCGCCGCGGCGGGTCCCGCTATATAAGGAAGGAGCACGCGGAGCCGCCAGCTGAGGGGAGACTATGTCGCGTTACGGGCGCTACGGTGGGTGAGGACGCGGCGCCACGAAAGTGGCGGTGGTTGCTTTCCTCTTGCCTGAGAGCTGTCTTGGCAACGAGGCGATCGCGCGGGAGGGAGGCAGGCCGCAGCCATTTTGCGGATAGCATGCG